CGCTGAGCGTGTCCGCGCGGGCGCGGAGCAGGTAAGGCGCGGGGCTGCGCGGGCGGGCCGGGCTCCCGCCTCCCGAGCCGCTGCTTCCGCGCGCCCTTCGCGGCGCCCGGTGGCCGCTCGGTGGCGTCGCTGCCTCCCTTCCGCCGCCCTGCGGAGTTTCCTCTCAGAACCTCCACGCCTAGCGGGCGACCCGGCCCCGGACCCCCCGAGCTCCCTTCCCGACCCCTCGCTGCCCTCGGGAAAGCTGGCGCGTCACTGCGGCGGGTCGTCCTTGTGGCGTGGCTGGAATCTGGCCCCTGCTCTGCTCGCAGCCGGCAGTGACCTTTCTCCGTGCTCCAACTGTCTCGGCCTGACACTCCTGCTGGCCTTTTAGTTCTGGGCCTTTGTGCTGCAGTGCCTAGACTCCGCCCCCAGCTTTTTTTTTTTTTTTTTTTTTTTACTCAGATAGTGTCCTGGTAGAATACACTCCATTCCCTGTGCCGCGCTGTGTGCTCGCTTCTCGTTGTTAAAGGGTTGGAAGTCCTTGGAGCGGGTGAGGCAGGGCTTTAAACTGGACTTCTGCACATACTGTCTAACCCTCAGTCCCTAGAAATGCCCATTTCCCCATTTGTAAATGGGGGATAACAATAGTAGAGGCCTCGAAAGGTTTTTGGAAGAATAAATGAGGTAACACGGGAGATCCAGCTGGTCTTGTGCCTGGCAGACAGTGCTGGGTCAGTAAGTGCCCCCAGTCAGCAGCAGCGCACCCTGAGACTCACGTACCGAAAGAGGGTTTTGTGTTAAATGTTGAAAGAGATGTGGAAAGTTTTCCCCCAAATGTGTGGATGTTTTTGTATTGTTGGGCGTATTTGTTTTCAAAGACACGGTGCTGCTGGATATAGTAGAGATAAAATGTATTCACAGAGTACATGGTGGAGATTTGCATAATCTCCCAACAGCTCTTTAGAAGTGTAGCAGGAAGCAAGAACAGGGAGAGTGTGTTGGATTTGCACGTTGCCTTTCTGAGTGTCTTACTGAGAAGGTCTCTGGGAACAGAGTCTAGGACTTACCTTTCCGCCTTAATCCTGTTATGCTCAATAAGATTCTCTTACACCAACTGTGAAGGAAACCATAGAAATCTAGGCAAGCCAGATTTCTTTCTTTCTTTCTTTTTTTTTTTTTATTAAATCATAGCTGTGTACATTAATGCAGCCAATATTTGATGAATATTTTCATCAAACTGGCAAGCGAGATTTCTCTGTTCCTATTTCCCCTGCCCTTCCTTGCCTCTCAGTGAGAATGCCTTGCTTTCTCCTACGGGAGCATTTTGGAAAAACTAGATAAACTGGGGAGCTACTGAACATAACTTGTGTAACTGGTCTTTAAGGGAACACGAATGTTTTTGTAAATGGAAATTATCTCCCCCAGATTCAGTGTTTGGATTTGGGTATGTCACCTTGCTTTAAAGGGGAGCACTTCCGTTCTGTTCTTTCACAGTCCTGCCTTCCTGTCTTTGGCGCAGTTTCTAACCATGGCCTTGTACTGCCTATCACAGATTTTGGAGCTGCACCTGTTTGCCAGCTGTGCTTATCTAAGACTTCTGCTGTGCAGTGTGGCAGCCACTAGCCACACAGGGCTTTTGATGTTTAAGATAATTAAGGTTAAATACAATGAAAGATTCAGTTTCCCAGTGGCCGCAGTTCAGGTACTCAGGATTTGCGCATGGCTAGTATGGGGACAGTGCAAGTATTTGGAGAACATCTTTGTTGTCGTGCAAAGTTCTATTGCATAGAGCCATTCCAGAAGCTGTTGTTTTGATATTGTTTAACCATTAGATCAGCTATCGGTAACTGAGAGTCAAAAAACTCCTTTTGCTCTTAAAAACCCAGACAACAGTCCTTTGTGTTTTGCAGTGATTTAGGCTGCAAAGGGATGTCACATATTTTGCTTGACTGTTAAGACGATTTTATCTGTAAGCCAGGGAGGGTAGATAAATAGGAATAAAATTTTCATATTAAGTAGATGGTACAACTTGGAGTAGAACTCCAGTAGTTTTTGTTTGTTTTCTGAGCACTGTAATGGTTGATAATCCTTGAGCCCATAGTTTATTGGAAGAGGTGAGAAGGGTTTATGGAAGTAGGGAATCCTCGGCGGGGCCTGAGGCTGCGCTCCGGTAGGCATCACAGCTGTCACTCGTTCCTGTCACTCGTTCCTGCTTTGACTCTGGGTACAATGGCAACCCCTGACAGCCTGGTTAAAATGTGTGCTGTGGTCAAGTGGGCTGAATGGTGAAGGTAAGAAGGTGAGCGAAAGGCTAACACATATAGAAAATAGTTGTTCATGGTCATGGCTGATTAACTGGTAGTGATAGAGGATTTCGAACCATCATATTTGGTTTTCTTTTTTTGAGACAGTCTCACTCTGTCACCCTTGGTAGAGTTCTGTGACATCATAGCTCACAGCAACCTCAAATTCTTGGGCTTAAGCGATTCTCTTGCCTCAGTCTCCCACGTAGCTGGCTTTTTTTTTTTTTTCCAGTTGTTTTAGCTGTTGTTTAGCTGGCCTTGGCCAGGTTTGAACCTGCCACCCTCTGTATATGTGACTGGCACCATAACCACTGTGCTACAGGCACCAAGTCCATATTTATTTTTCATTGCATGAAATCTTATCCTTCTTGGGATCAGCTAAAATCTTTTGCTAGTCTTTTGAATTGAGAAAACAAATTTATCAAACTCACCACTACCAATTGTTAATAATATGACTGAGTAAAGTTCGTTGAGTAAAGTACATGCATATACTGCCTTAAGGAAAAAGTATTCCCAGGAATCTTCTCTTTAAATTCCCCTCTTGTGATTCTTTTTTTATTCTTTTTCCTGTGGAGACATACTCTCACTCTGTTGCTCAGGTTAGAGTGCTTTGGAGCCAGCCTAGCTCACAGCAACCTCTGACTCCTGGGTTCAAGCAGTTCTCCTTGCCTTAGCCTCCTGAGGAGCTGGGACTACAGGTACCTGCCACAACGCCCCGGCTCATTTTTCTGCTGGGAGTAGAAAAGGGGTCTCGTTCTTGCTTCAGCTGGTTTTCAGCTCCTGAGCTCCAGATCCTCCTGCCTTGGCCTCCCAGAGTGTTAAGATTACAGGCCTGAGCCACTGCACCCAGCCCTCTTGTAATTCTTTAAATTAAATTCCTCAAATCACAGGTCGATGAAGTCACTATTAAACACTTTTACCCATCAGTAAGTAGCTTCCTGTGTTTGTCCAGTGAATGTGTTAGAACTCAGGCCAGCTCCTTTGTTTTCTGACTCAGGTTCCATAGTCTTTCAGCTGCGGAATTTCCTTTCCTCTCTCATTTCTGCTTCCTTTCCTATCCATTGGTAAATCTGTTAATACTCTGTTTTTTTGGGGACAGAATCTCACTATGTTACCCTCAGTAGAGTGCTGTGGCATCACAGCTCACAGCAACCTCAAACTCTTGGGCTTAAGTGATTCTCTTGCCTCAACCCCTCAAGTAGCTGGGGCTACAGGTCCCCGCCACAACGCTGGGCTGTTTTCTTGTTGCAGTTGTCCTTGTTGTCTAGCTGGCCCTGGTTGGGTTCAAACCCACCACGCTTGGTGCATGTGGCTGGTGCTGTAACCACTGTGGTGTGGGTGCCGAGCCTGTTAATACTCTTATTCTGCAGTTTTTCGTGGAGCTGTCCATCTTTAACAGCAGTCCTAAACAACTTGTGGCTTTCAGTAGTGTGTATAAATGATGGAATTCTTTCGGTTGTACTTTCCGTTGCTCTAGCTAACAGGCATTTATTGATGTCAAATCTGTGGAGTTCCCTGCTGGGCTTGGACTCAGCTTCTGGACATTCTTATTTGACACTTTTCATTATTAAGTTAAGCATGTCTGAACTTGCAGTCATTTCAGCCATTTCAGCTTTCCCCAAAGCTCCTTTTCCTCTCTCTCTCTTTTTTTTTTTTTTTGCAGTTTTTGGCCAGGGCTGGGTTTGAACCTCCCACCTGTGACATATGGAGCCGGCACCCGACTGCTTTGAGCCACAGGCACCACCCGTCCTTCTCTCTAGGTTAAACTGTACCACCTAATTGCCGGAGCTGGAAATCTCAACCTTACTTCTTTCCTCTTTCTCAATTTGCCTTATGTAGGTAGTAGATCATTAAAACCTTTCTGGCCGGGTGCCCATAGCACAGTGGTTACAGCGCCAGCCACGTCACTGAGGCTGATGGGTTTGAACCCCGCAGAGGCCAGGTGAACAACAATGACACCTGCAACAAAAAAAATAGCTGGGTGCTGTGGTGGACACCTGTAGATTCGGGAGGCTGAATCACTTAAGCCTAAGAGTTTGAGGTTGCTGTGAGCTGTAACAGCACGGCACTCAACAGAGGGAGACCAAGTGAGACTCTGTCTCAAAAAAAAAAAACCAAACAGAAAGCTTCATTCTACCTTCTGTGCACCTCCTAGGTCGGTGCCTTCTCTGTCCCTGCGTAGTTTGTGTTTTGCCTTCTGTCTCCAGGGTGTCTTGATTCTCAGCCATTCTTCCTTGAAAAAACTGGATCACGAATCCTGTTTGGGAATACTAGCTTTAAAGCACTTATTTTGCAACTAGAAGAAATTCCAGGGCACAGGCCCTTTTGAGAGACATTCTTATATGTGTACTTTTGATAATTTTTAATTAGTAGAATTCACTTTTATTCAGTGTTGTAATATCAGAGAGGGCATTATCCAGTCAGGTGCTTCACTTTCTTCGTTTGTAAGATGATAAAACTGTACTTGATAGTTCTGAATTTTTTTAGCTCTGAAGTTATTTTTTTTATGGTTCTTTCCTCTCTTTTTTGGAAACAAAAATTCTCTTGCAAAAGACTTAATTTTGCACAAAGAAAAGAGAATTAACAAAAGGTTTTAACATAAATAAGATTATTTAGTAAAGTGATTGGGGACATTATGAATATATAATGGTCAATAATTTTCTTGGCTGTCAACAGTTAATTGTTCTATCTGGTTAGGCCTTTTGGTAGTTATGTGCAATTGCTGAAGTATGGGAGGGCTGTGCGGCTCTCACTGTCACCTCGCACCCAAAAGGTAGTTATCGTGAAAGTAAATCTCAGACACAAGTTTGCCAAAGTGACCAACACTTATTAGCAGACAGGATCCCGAATAGTCACACGATATGCTCTGTCAGTTTAATCAGCTTCCAGCTCTCAGTTCTTTGAACACTCCACATAACAGCTTAAGGCAATATTCCTGGTCAGCTTAAGGTGAGTTCCTGGTCAGATCAGTTTTCTAAACATTCTGTCCCCATGACCTAAGCGGTGGTCCCTGGGCCGAGGGCACCACTCTGAATAGCATCATCACCGGACTCCCCAGGCAGGTATGTCATGTTCACTTGGGCAATATTCACTTGTTTTCTTAAATTTTTTAAAATTTTAGAATATCACAGGGGTATGCTTGTTTTGGTTATATAAATTTGCTTTTGTGTATTTTGGGTCAAGGTTAGTAAGTGTGCCCTTCACCCAGAAAGTGCCAGCTAGGTGTGAACTTACCAGCTCTCTCCCCTCCCTTCCACCTCCGTGATTTCTGTTGAGTCTTCTGTAGGTGCGCACAGCCTTGATCCACTGGTCCCACAAACACATCTGGTGTTTGTTTAAACATTCTTGTGATGCCTTGAAGAATGGTTTCCAGTCTCATCCATGTCATTACAAAAGATACTAGATCACCATTTTTTTTAAAGCCTCCATATTACTCCATAGTGTACAAATAGGGCATATCAGGACGTCTGACAATAAAGTTCATGAACTCATCCTAGAACAAGGCTGCATACCTCCTTGCTGAGTGTCATCACACACTCACCTTCAGAGTACTCCTCTGGGAAGCTGTGCATCAGCACCTGCGTCTAGTCCACCCTTCAGAGCGGTTTTGGAACTCTTTTTTTTCTGGAATGGCTATCAAAGCTGTCATTGCATTATCCTTGAAGTCCTGAATGTCATGAAAATATCTTCCTTTCAATATTTCCTTTATCTTCCAGTAAATAAAAAAGTCACTGGGGGCCAGATCAGGTGAGTAGGGAGGGTGTTCCAATACAGTTATTTACTGGATAACAACTCCCTCACCGACAGTGCCACATGAGGTGGGCATGAGTTGTTGGCCAAAGTTTTCAGTTAAAATTTTCCTGACTATTGCTCTATACAATGTTTAGTTGGTTTGTTAGGCTTCTCACCTGTGGGCTGATGATTCGATGCATACTCTGATGAATTTTTGCAAACTGTTTTCATCAGTTCTGCTGGTTACTGGCCACCCTGACCTCTCTTCATCCCCTCAGAAAAACATTTATTCCGTTCGTACACTGCCATCTCCTTCATGGAATTATCCCTATAAACTTGGACTAACTCATCTCTGATTTCACTTCCACTCTTGCCAAATTAATGAGCAATTTAGTGTTTGTTCATTGCTCTGATTCAAGCTCTGACATTGTAACAACAGCACACAAAAGTGCACAACAAAAATAATGGACACCGCTAGATAGGACACCACCACATGTTGACACAACACAGCTGTGAGACACTGGTATATCAAGGTTGTGAAACCTACAGAGTTGTTTGTACAGTGCCACCAACAGAAGCACATAGTGGTAAGTTTGTGAACTTAATTGTAAGACCTCTTTATATTAATCCATATTCATGTATTGATGAGCGCTTGCTGAGTTTTACTTATATCAAGTGAAGTTTCCCTTGATGGACTATTGCCATCTGTTGGTAGTAGTGAAAATTATAAGTAGTTTAAATTGAAGTGAATCTTTTTCAGTTACAAGTAAAAATTAAAATAGTGGAAGTTACAGATCTAATTGATAGTATAATTTCACTCCTCACGTTTTGGAGTGATGTTTGTGAGACGGGAAAGAAATTTTATAAGATAGGTAATATCTTATAAAATGTGGCTGGGCCTAGTGGCTCACGCCTCTGATCCTAGCATTTTGGGAGGCCAAGGCTAGAGGATTTCTTGAGCCTAGGAGTTTGAAACCAGTCTGAGCAATAATGAAAACCCATTTCTACAAAAAGTAAAAAACTTAGCCAGGTGTGGTGTTGCTCACCTATAGTCCTAGCTACTTGGGAGGCTGAAGCAGGAGGATGCTTGAGCCCAGGACTTAGAGGTTATAGTGAGCTGTGATGACATTGCTGCACTCTGGCTCAGGAAACACAGTAAAACCCTGTCTCAAAAAACAAACAAAAACAAAACAACCCCCCCAAACCCACAACACACAAAGAGGTATTTTCTTTTTCTTTTTCTTTCTTTTTTGATCAGAGTCTTACTATGTTGCCCTTGGTAGAGTGCTGTGGTGTCATAGCTCACAGCAACCTCAAACTCTTGGGCTTAGGTGATTCTGTTGCCTCAGCCTCCTGAGCAGCTGGGACTACAGGTGCCTGCCATGACGCCTGGCTATTTTTTGTGCAGTTTGGCTGAGGCTGGGTTTGAACCCCCATCCTCGGTATATGAGGCCAGTGCCCTACACACTGAGCCACAGGCTCTGCCCTTTATTTTTCTTCCTACAGAAAAAGAAAAGCTTTTCCTGGTCCCTTTGACTTTTGAGTGTATAGTGTGGACTGAAGTGAGTTGTTCACATGCTCAGAAAACCAGCAGAGCCTGTGCGCAGCAGCACCTGCCCGTTACCTGCACAGCAGTTGCCCTATGATGGCTGATCTGCTTCTCTAAAGCTCCCTTTGCCACAGCCCTGTCTAGGCTTTTAGGGTCACGGTCATGTTTTTTCATAATCCTGTGAGAGTAAAATAGACTTTTTGAGTGATTGTCACATGTTTTCATATAGCTGTGGCCACCAATGAGAGACAAGTGCAGCCCACCATGGGGCCTTGGCCAGGTGGTGGCTGCCGTTTCCTTTCAGGGGTAGAGCTTGTCACTCGGTAGGCAGGAAGATAATTCTTTGATTTGCAGGGTCTTGCTTTGGAAAGAAAAGATAAAATTGTCAGAGAGCATGTTCACACACACACGCGCATGCACTTCTATTGTGACCTTACAGGTGCTTAAGCCAATTATTTAAAGTTATATTTGAAATTACCAAAAATACCAAAGGACTACTTTCTTTTCCAGCTCAGAAGATAAAGTAACAGTCCACTTCGTAAACCGTGATGGTGAAACAATAACAGCCAAAGGGAAAGTTGGTGACTCTCTGCTGGATGTTGTGGTTGAAAATAATCTAGACATTGATGGTTTTGGTGAGTATGGGACATTTCCTAAAATTCATAAATGATACTATTGAATAGGTTTCAACCTTTTAAAAAAATTTTAGCCTATAGCATGCTACATAAAATATTAAAATTCAGGATGTGTTAGTGTTATTAAGAATAATAGAGTGACACTTTTTCTATTCTTTGTACATTTCAGTAACTCTGTGACCAGAAATGTACTGTGGCCTAATTACCTTCCTGGTTAACTGTGTGATGCAAATCTGGGAATAGGGAGTGGAGTTAAAAGATACCATGTTAGAGAGAGTGTCCTATCACAGAGGGGTAGTGAAATAGTTTTATCTTAATCGTGAATGTCAGCTCACCTTCCTAGGAAGGGTAACTGATCCTAGAGTGTTTCATTTAGAAAATTTTCACTTCCAGACTTCCAGCCATATTCCGTCACCACCAGACACAGGGCCCGTGTTCCAGCACTGCCACTCTGCCAGTTCTTTGGCCCCTGCTGTTCTGCTCAAGCACGGTCGGTCTAGAATAGTGGTTCTCAGAGAGGGTTCCCTTGACCATTATTGGCGGCAGTGTTCCCAGAGTCTCAGACCTCCCTCCAGACCTGCTGAGTCAGAAAGTCTGCTGGGAGAGGGCCCAGCGCTGTGTTTACAAGCTGTCCATGTGATTTGATACGCGGTGGGGTTTGAGAGCTGCAAACCACAATTAAGGTCCAAAAAGCACAGCTAACTGTGCTTCATTCAAGGCACAGTGGACTTTGCACTTTTAAGAACCATTTCTAGGTAAGAATTAATTTCTCTTCCTCCCCTTTTCCTGATAACAGTAAATCTGCATTCTAACTCTCATAACAGTTTTCCTTTTCAGAGAGAATGCCCCTCCCTTGTTAGATTCCAAGTTCTTGGAAGGCTTTGAGTCGCTCAGATAACTTCCTGCAGTATACTTTTATTAGTCTTGGAAGTCAGTAATATTTGCTGAATATCTAAATGTAATTTCTTTCAAGGTAATTACAACTCTAGTGTTTGTGCACTGTATTCCAGCAAATGTTATTTGCGGTAGATTTTTTTAATCCTCCATTTTATAGATGAAGAAACTAAGGTTCAGAGAAATTAATTTTCCCCTAGTTATTCATGCAGCAAATGAGAGGCTGAGGTTCTCACTAAGTCTGACTCCCAGGCTTCCGCCTTTTCTGTATTCTGTTTTCTCTAAGAAGTGTCTTTTCTGTGTGAACACCTATTATAGAAATTAGGCATTGAAATAGTTGATATGATCCTAATTTTAAGGAGTCATGTAGTTTAATGCAGTGGTTTTTGGCTGGGATTGGGTTTCAGAATTGCTTTACAGAATTTTTAAAAGTGTAGAGATCTGTGTTCTATCCTAGATAGCACCAGGAAAGAGGGAAATTTTGCAGGTGTATTCTTAAAAGCTTCATATGATTCAACATCTAGGTGAAAGAAGTCCTTGGTAATTTTTTTTTTAAAAAGAAACAGGTCTGACTCTGTCACCCAGGCTGGAGAGCAGTGGCACGATCATAGCTACTGCAGCCTTGAATTCTTGGGCTCAAATGAGCCTCTCACCTCAGGCTCCCAAAGTGCTGGGATTCCAGACATGAGCCGTTGATAATTTACTTATACTATAAAACTTACACATAAATGATCTTCATATGAGTTCGTACTCAGCTACACTTTTGAGTAAACTTAGTTTCACTGAATTAATCTTTGACCAATGAAGGGAGTGTATTAGTCCTTCCTTATCCACAGGGCGTTTGTTCCAGGAACTCTGGTGGGAGCCTGCAACTGTGGATAACCCTGGACTGTGTATGTTTTTTCCTGTGATAAAATTTCACCTTTTCACTTAAAGGAAGCACTTTCTGGCTTCTCTTTGGCATATCTGAAATTGCCAGAAATCACTACTGTTGGCTCGGCGCCTGTGGCTCAATCGGCTAAGGCGCCAGCCACATACACGTAAGGTGGCAGGTTCGAATCCCCAGCCTGGGCCCGCCAAACAACAATGATGGCTGCAACCAAAAAAATGGC